TTCTTTCCAGTAAGGCTGATTAAATTTTTCATATTTACAAAAATTTGGAAAACTTGTTTTTTCTAACCTTATAAGTCATCCTTTTTCTTGCTTTCCTTCATTTCCATTTTGCAAGTCCAGAACTTCAACATTTAGGACAAAATCTAATCATGAGCATTCTTATAACAACATTACAGTCTTCTTACAACTTGGAGTCAATTCAAACTTTACCATCTGAACCCTAAGTTCAACAGTGCTTCAAGCCTGCCTGTTCTTACCAGCCAACCTGTCACCACTATCTCCCTAATCCCATTTGTTTACCTATTTATTTGACTGTTTCCTGAGACACAGCCTTAATCCTCCTTTATCTTCTTCTGCCTACACCTCTGACAGTACCTTCTGATGGGAATTTTATGAGAAAGTTTTCCTGTGACTACCCACCTTGTAGCTGCACTTTTTTATCCACCATACAAAGAAATTAAACTTGTCCTTCCCTTGTATCATTTATCATTATTAATCTTATCCCCTTAGGGGTTCTTCCCAATCCCACTTTCAAAGAAGTGTATGCTTGTTATCAATTTATTTTTGAGCTTTACATCCATACTTCTTTGCCCTGTTTGGTATACTAGAGCTGGACCCTGTGATCTTTTGCCAGCTGAGCATGATGTCAGTAGAGGGCGCTGGTTGAGGGAGCAGGAATAAAGCCCCTCTTCCAAGGCCTGTGTGCTTTCCTTTTGTCCAGGTCTTGTGGTAGTCTTCTCAGGTGCAGGACACCCAGAAGCACTTACCCCAGGGAGTTTCAGTGCTATCCCAAGGCCAGGGCAGCTTCTGGAAAACTTCTGTGAGCATCCCAACTAGATTTCCCAGCACCCAGCCTTCAGCAGCTGGTTTTCCAGGGAGTCAAGAGTATCCTGCACCCTGTAGGAACCCAGCTACATCCCAAATGAGTTCAACTGTGCCCCACAATAGCTTTCCAGCAAGTTTTTTTTGGTCATCTCAATGGGGGTTTCTTGCTTGTCAACTTTGTGGCACCCAGCAAATGTTTTCTAGCATCCAGTGGATCACAGCCACACACTTTCCAGCAAGATCTAAATCTCAGTCTTGTAAGGCCCTTTCCGAAATTTATTCCTTCCTCTATGTTTAACCTCTTAATAGTGAATGTCCTGTTGCTATTTAATGATTACTTATGTTATATCCTTCCTCTTTAAATTACTGCCTGGTTTCTGGCTCCTGACTGCCTGACTGGATATTCCACACAGGCTCTCTCTTTTGATGTCCACAAAACATGGGTCAGATGCCTCACACCTTCTACCATTTTTCACCCTGTTCGTGCCAAGGCCTCCTGGGTGATTTTGTTCTCAGGCCTGTGTCACCTTTTCACTGCCCAATCAGTTACATCCTGTCCCTTGCCTCCAAGCCTTGTCCCTCAGTGGCCTCTTTCCATTAGGCTTTAGGAAGCCTAGTACAGAAATTCCAGCAACTGGTATCTTGACGTCCCCAACACCATCCCCTATCCTGATATCATTTCTAACTAGTTCCCTTTCATTCTACCCAAAGAATGGCTTTCACATTAGTTTCTTTCATCTTTATTCCCACTTTATGAACCAGCCATGAACCCTGTGATCTCACACAGATGCAGCCCCAGGGGATGTGATTGGGATACTCCTTAGGTCACTGGGAATGTAGTAGCGCTTGGATAGGTTCAGGGACCTGGCGGCATTCTTAGCAGCAAGATCACATCTGCTGTGTAAGACATAGTATTTTGTTTAAAGTACCTTGTTTTTGTTTTCTTACAGCTTTATTAGAAGTGGGGGTAAAATTAGGGTAATATGACGGCCATTACGGTCAGGGGATCCAAGGAACATGTGAGCTACAAGGTCCCCAGTGGAGATGTAAGTTCTGAGGTCAATGACCAGCAACTTTTGTTAGCTAGGGTTTGGCTCCCAACTTGAAAACCAAACTTAGGTAAGAATGGGCCACATTGCCTAGTGTGGGCTGAAAATCTTAACAGTCTTCTCCCCTCTAACTTCAAACTCAATCTCCAGTCCCCCAGATCCTAGAGGCCATTCCAGTCAGCACCCACTAACACTGGAGGAAGGACACCAGAGCACGTGAGCTTGCGTTTGACCCAGTTGGAGCCAAGTTCCCAAGCACACCTCACAGTCCTTTCTCCAAAATTACTTAAGCCTAAATAAACTGAAAACGGAACAAGCTGTGAGACTTGCTGTCCTTCCCTTCCTTGAGATAGGGTAAGGCTGAACTGCTATAACAAAAATACGGTAGCTTAAGGAATAATATAGACATTTATGTCTCACTAACAGGTCATGGCAAGTAATTCAGCTACCAGGGACCTCGGTTCCATACTCAGAGTCCTTCCAAGTTGCTGCTCTCCGACACTTCAGACTGAGCCTTGCTATATATACCCAAAGGGTAGTCTGAGGACCAGAAGCATCCATCACTTGGGATCCTGTCAGAAGTGCAAATCTCTGGCTTCACCTCAGATCTACTGTGGCAGCCAGGACCAGTTACGTGATGTGTGGGTACCAATGAAAAATAAACACATGGGGGACCACTGTTAATTATTACAAATTCCAAGATGATAAAAGCAGGGCATTAAACCAAGCACAGGGCCCCGCTGAGCATGGGGCTCTGCACAACTGCACAGGCCTCATGCGCTGAAGACAGGCATTTTATTTACTAGGAAAAGCTACGTATCCAGGGGTTAAAAATGCTGATGCCATGTCACTAAACCCAGGCTTTGCATACTAACATTAGATATGAATAGTGCCTAGAGCACTAGAGGAATATATTAATACTCAGATTAATTCACAGTCACCATCTGGAATGATGTTTTACCTGGGCAAGATGGGAAAACCTCAACTGGGAAAACATTCAGTTTTTAGGACACAGTGGGGCCAGTATTTTTCTGAACTCTCTGGAAAGAACTACCAAGTAAGAATTTTCCAGGCCTCTCTTGTGGTTTGTATTTGATCCACCAGACCAGGATGGACTGGAAACCCCAGGCTCCTCATCTCTGCACAGCAGCACTGTGTTGGAATTCCATAGCATAATACAGGAAATATAATAGTATCCAGATTTCTTCTAAATGAATGGGTGGGTAAAGTTGGTTTTAGCTCTGACCTTTCTCTAAAGGTGCTGCTCCTAGCACAATGGGAGATTTCAGTCCCTTATTTTGATACAAAATGGTCAAGGTTATAAATCTTACATCTGTATTTTATCATGTTAAAAAAAAATGTTGACGTGTAGAACCTGCAGGGACAGAACCTTGGTGGGATTTCAGCAGGTGGGCACTGGCTAGACAGTCTGCCTCAGAGCCCATGCTCTCAGCCACTCTCATGCCACCCTGCAGCCCTGTGTGCCAGTGGTCAGGTCTAGAAATCAGAGGAAAAGTGAATCACAGTCTATCATTTTTAGGCAAGTGAAAGATAAAGTGTATTTGAAAACGCTACCTAATACCCAAGTAACCGTTCATAATTAAAAGTTCAACTAAAGGAAATTTTTGTTTTATTGCTTGGTTTGTTTACTTTGGAAAATAAATTCAGATGATGTGACTTTTATAATTTTTTTATGCTAGACATTTTTCTGTATCCTTTTGGCAAACAAGGATCACTGTAATGTGCCTTGGTAAGATCTGCTGGGAAACCACTGCACAGTTGTGCCGGTTGAGGCCATCTCCCTCCAAGAGGCCCTCTCGGTCCTCTCTGGGTAGTCGCTGTGTGATGACAGTAGCTGACGAGCAGTGAAGGGACTCAGAGCAGACTCACATTCAACACGATCCAACACAGCCAGAACCTGCTGTTAGTGGGAAGGTGTATATTGTGATTTGTAGTAAGAAATAGATATTTTGTCTTCATCCCCTACTTCTGGCATGGAGCTCCTAGAACCTTTGTGATTTCCTAAACTATGAGACCCACAAAGGTGTCTTTTTGTTGTGTTAATGAGGTGACTTCTGGAGCAACCAGGAATGAGGACTGATTGCCCATGGAGACAACCATGTGATCAGAGGGTTGGACCTTTCAGCCCCACCCCCTGACCTCGGAGAGGGGAGATGGGCTGGAGGTGGGGCTCAGTAACCAGTGGCCAACCACTTATCAGTCATGCCTACGCAATGATGCCTCCATAAAAACACAAAAGGAATGGGTTCAGAGAGTTTCCAGGCTGGTGAGCACGTGGTGATGCAGGGAAGAGTAGAGCTGGGAGGGGGCATGGGAGCCCCTTGCGCTTTCTCCATACCTTGCACTATGTGTCTCTTCCCATCTGGCTGTTCCTGAGTTATATTGTATCCTTTTATAATAAACTGGTAGTCTAGTCAGTAAAATGTTTCTCTGAGATCTGTAGGCCGCTCTAGCAAATTAACTGAATCCAAGGACAGGAGTTGTGGGAACCTTTGATTTCTAGCCAGTTGGCCAGAAGCACAGGTAACCATCTGGACTTTGGACGGATGTCTGAGGTGGAAGGCAGTTCTGTGGAACAGAGCCCTGAGCCTGTGGGAGCTGATGCTGTCTCTAGGTAGTGTCAGAATGCACTCAATTACTGGACACCCAGATGCTGTTAGAGAACTGCTTGTTCCAGGGACACAGCCCACTCATGCCACCACCCTCGCTCCACAACCCCACCCCCACCATCCATTGCTGACCAGAACTGTTAGGTTTTCCACACCTCACAAAATTGTAAGATGCTTTCTAAAGCCTCCTTTCCTGACAATCTCTTAAACACATCTGGTCACATCATATCCAAATGTCATATGGAAATATGATAGAGATTTCTGTCTGTAGTTCTCTAGCTGTGTTATAAATGAAAAAAGAAGTAAAGCATTCAATCAATCCAAGGCTTTTCTTATTCCACACTGAGTTTACCCCACATCTTCCTGTAAATTACTCACAACAAACCTCTTGTCTATATATTCTATTCAAATGAAAATTTTAATCAGATATTATACTTATTATTAATGTAACATGCTATGTAAATAAATATACAGGAGCCTGACAAATGGCAATCTAGTAGTTTCAGTAATATAAATATTTATTGAAGTCTTTATTAGTACTCAGCCTTTCTTTATTATGGCTTTTAAAAAGTAATTTTTAAAAGTGCATGATTCCTTTGGGCCATTCTGTTTAGAACAGATTAGAGATAAAACATCTACAGTAATGAATCAGTCAATTATATACAGGTTCAGATTAGAAAATGTCAAATACTGGAAAAAAGTATATTTTAAATTAGCCCAATTTAAATATGGTGCCATTTCATTTAAATATCTAATTTGAATCTTCAGTATTATACTTATTTTATGTATTAATTCCATTTTACCAGGTATTTCTCAGTAATTTCTCAACTGTCCCAGAGAAGATATAAAAATAATTCAACTCCTGACAATTATGTGACCAGGATGAGAAACTTCTGCTCCCTATATGGGAGTCACAACAGGAAAATAATGCCCTTTGTCTGTTACCAAGGAGCAAATAATACTGTAGTTCAAAGTAAGGACTGCATAGCTGTACACACTCACATTCTGATTCCAGAGCATTTCATCTCAGCAAACAAGGACTGATTCCTTTCAAAATTCAACTCTGGTTGAGAAACACCAGTTACAGATAAAGCCACAGATGTGGAGGTTACAGACACTGACAGAAGTACTCCTAATAACGTGGCAGGGTTCTCAGATGGTGCCTTTCCTTCAAAAACCAAATGTGTTCCTGAGGTTCAGGAGCATAATTCCACTTTCCTCAAAATGTCATGACATCCTGCTGAATCTTCTTCCACTAGGTCTGCTGGGACCAGAGAAACCGATCACATTTCTCAAGCATGCTTTGTATCAAGGCTCTGAAATCCCAAAGGAAAGAAATAAGCAAATTTAATTCTCACTGTTCATTCTTCACAAAAAACTTAAAAACCCACAAAGAATTAGAGGCCTCAAAACCAGACTGATTCTGTGCATCAAAAGACACAATCAACAGAGTAAAAAGGCACCCTATTCTATAGAAGAAAAGATTTCAAATCATGTATCTGATAAAGGGTTAATATCTAGAATACATAAAGAACTCCTATGACAAAAAAACAAGTAATGATATTTTAAAATGGGCAAAAAGACTCGAATTGGTATGTCTCCAAAGAGGATATACAAATGGCTAACAAGCATATGAAAAGATGCTCAACATCACTAATCATTAGGGAAATGCAAGTAAAAAACCACCATGAGATATCACCTTGTACCCACCAGGATGGCTACTATGAAAAATAGAAAATAACTAGTGTTGGCACGGATGTGAAGAAATTGGAACCTTTGTGTACTGTTGGTGGGATTGTAAAATGGTATAACTTCTATAGAAAACAGTATAGCAATTCCTCAAAAAGTTAAAATAGAATTATCATATGATCCAGTAATTCCACTTCTGGGTATATACCTAAAAGAACTGCACACAGTCTCTCAAAGAGACATGCGTACACCCACGTTCACAGCAGCATTATCCACAACAGCCAAGAGGTAGAAGCAACCCAGTGCCCACTGATAGATGACTGGATAAACAAAATGTGGTATACACTCACAATTGTTTTTATACATGCACAACAGTCTTTAAGACTATTCAGTCTTAAAAGAGAAGGAGATTCTGACACATGCTGTAACACAGACGAACCTTGAGATAAGCCAGTCACAAAAAGACAGACTGTATGATTCTACTCATATGAGGTACTTAGAATACAGTAGTGCCCCCTTATCCTTGGTTTCGCTTTCCAAGGTCTCAGTTACCCGAGGTCAATTGCAGTTTGGAAGCAGAGGATCCTCCTTCTGACATGTTGTCAGGAGGTCAATAGTAGCCTAACATCATATACAACCCATCATTCACCTCCCTTCATGTCATCACATAAGCATTTTACCACCTTACATCATCACTAGAAGAGTGAGTACAGAAAAATATGTTATTTTGGGAGAGAAAACACATTCGTGTATCTTTTATTTTAGTATATTATTATAATTCTTCTATTTTATTACTAGTCATTGTTATTAATCTCTTACTGTACCTACTTTATAAATTAAGCTTTATCACAGATATGTATGTATAGGAAAACACTGTAGAGTTTGGTACTATCCAGTTTCAGGCATCCACTAGGGATCCTGGAATGGATCCCCCATGGATAAGCGGGGCTGCTACAGTCAAAATCAGAGAGGATATAGAATGGTGGCTTCCAGGGGCTAAGTGGAGGGGGAAATGGAGCTATTGTTTAACGAGTACAGTTTCAGTTTTGTAGGATGAAAAAGTTCTGGTAATTGGCTGTACAATTATATGGATATGTCATTCACACTGCTGAACCAAACACTTAAAAATAGTTAAGATGGTAAATTTTGTGTTATCTGTACTTCACAATTAAAACAAACAAACAAAAAACACCAAACCTGAGACAGGCATCTTGTATGAACAATATCGTTAAAAAATATGAGTACACATCAGATTTGGGAATTCACATTAATCCAGTGTCTTGGTCATGACTGTGAACAAAATATTACTTTAGCCTCTTTTCTTAATCACTTTAATCAACAGATGAAGATGAGTCTCAGCCCTCTCATCTATTAGTGAGGCGTTCAGAAAGGATGAGCCCTACAGTCCCACCCACCTCTGAAAATCTGTGGGGTTCTGCATTCCCCTAACACCTATGCGCAGGGCATGACAAGGGCGAGACAGACGGGTATTATTACCTCTGCCTTTTCTCAGCAATCCTTAAGATATCACAGGTTCTCGTAAACCTCTCTGAAAGCTCAAGGGTCAAACCACATTCCTGTAGCAGTGACCAGGCCCGATCTGGACCCATGGCCTTAGCTAACAGGAGTGCCACATTCTCCACATTGATAGGGGAAGGTCCATCACTGAAGTTCCCATTTGGTGACTTGTGGAGGAATGGCTTTGTGCTCTTGTTCTGTACCAGATGCAGGAGAAGCTTCCATTCCTCCATAGTCTCTGGGATCCAACCTACATATACACACAGAAACACAGAAATGTTGGCTCTGACTGCTCTTAGCACTGTGCCTACATATAAGAGATGGTCAAAACCATTTATGAAAACAGTTAATACCAAAGCATGAAAATATTAAAGAACATAATCTGATCACCCTAACACAAAGTTGTGTTCTGAACACTTTTTGAATAAAAGTTCAAAAGGAGAAGCCACAAAATTAGCTTCAAAATTCCTTCATTCACTCACTCAGCAAGTAATTACCCAGAGCATGTTCTATGTAGACCCTGGACACGCACTGAGGGATAGCTCAGACACAATGATCCCTGCCCTCTCGTGGAGCTTACAGTCTAATAAAGGAGACACGACTTACACAAAGATGGAAATACACCTATACTTATACACTGTGCTTTGCTATAAAAAATAAGATCAAGGAACCATTGGAGAGAAGAGCAGGTTTTGGGGGGAAGCTCTGAGAAGGGTTCTGTGAGGAAGTTACATTTAAGCAGAGAGTGAAAGATGAGACAAGCTTAGAGAACATGCACACGTAGCTCACTTAGGGGCAAATCTGGGCGGGGGTTGGAGATGGGGGCATCGGGAATAGAGGGTGAAGGAGCCTGCATTTCTAACAAAGGAAACATGGAGGAAGATTTGACACAGAAAGAACTTGAATTCAAGGAACCCAAAAAAACTACTGCACAAAGGCAGGAATGAGCAGTGAGAATGAGAGGACAGGGCCAGGCTTTAACAGACTAGTTTAAGAATCAGGATTTTATTCTCTGTTCAATATGAGGGGTTTCAAGGAAGAGAGCTACATAATCCAATTTTTTTTAAAAGAACATATTCTGACTGCTGTAAGGAAAATGGACTAAAGCTGGGCAAGAATGGAGTCCAGATGACCAAATATGAACTTACTGCAATGGTCTGGGCAGGAGATAACAAGAGTGGTGTTGGTGGAGCAAAAGAAGGTAGACAGATATGGGATATATATTTGACAGTAAAATCATTGTGCCTTGGAGAGGGATTAGTATGAGTTATGAGGAAAGAGAAGTGTCAAGACACCATTTAATAAACCAAGAGTAAAAATAGCTATTTATTATTATTTTTACATAAACAAACATTAAGAGTACTTTTATCTGAGCAGAGAGGATTTTAGGTCACATTTATTTTCTTTATGCTTTCTAAATTTTCAATTTTTTTCCGTAACAAACATTGTGTTGTAACTTTAAAAATATAAACCATTTCTATCTTACCTGTCCTGGTTATTTTTCAGAAGTGAATGCATGTCCATAGTTCTAGTTCTACAGAACCATCTGGCCCCTTTTTAAAATTTCTGAAACAAATACGATCTTAGTAATTTTTGCAATAGCTGTGACATCTGAAACTAATCTTTGCCAGTCAACTGGCTTCTTCACTCTATTCTAACTTTCTCTCTCCTATACCAACAGGGTTGAAAAAAGCTGTAGATCACACCTCTGGATGAAGGCCCCCGTGATGCTGTGGGCACTCCCGCACTGAGATGAATAAAGCAACACTACAAAACAGATGAAGATCATCTCTCCAAGTACAATGTGGACTCTCCAACTGAAGTTATCAGTGTGTCAAAGTCCTGGCCTTCTAATTGCCATTTTATCTGTGTTGGATTCATGAAAATTAGTATTTTAAAAAAATATCTAAATAGCTGTGACAGCTTAGGGAAAGCTGGCTGCTTCTCCACTTTTAGTTCATCTTAGTGATCTCTAGCTTTTGGCTGTGTAAAAGGCAACACAATGCAGATAAAAGAACCTGAGCGTAAGCTTCAGAGACAGTCAGACCTGGGTCTGAACACCAGCTCCACCAGTTATATGACTTTGGGCCTCAGTTAAAACTTCTGTAAAAGAGAAGTAATAGGAACTATCCCAAAAGGTTGTTAACCAATTTGAACAATATACAGAAAAGCACCTAGGATAGACCCTAACACACACGTAGGTATTCATTAAATAGAAAAGTGGCCTATAGTGTATTTCTAATTATGATTTTATAATATACCAAGTGGTACAGATAAAAAAAAAAAACAAACACAAATTTGACAGTCAACTAGATCACATACATGATCATGGAAATATTCACCAAATTTCTTTACTGAGAGTCTGGAGTGACTTCTAAAATGCTAAAACAGAGTACCCAATTGGGATTTACTTACCATTGTCCCCTTCCATCAGGCGCATATCATTCAGATACACAATGTTAGTGAAGGCCTCTCTTCTTCTCTCCAGCTCCAAACAGAGAGTAAGATATCCAGGCCAGAAACTTCAAAGAGACCAAAGATGAAGAAAGAAATAAAAGAGTGAATTTATCTGCAGCTGTGCTGTCCACATAGCAGATACTAGACACACGTGGCTATTCAAATTTAAGTTAATTGAAAGTAAATAAAATTAGAAAGTCAGTTGTTCAGTTAACCAATCCATATTTCAAGTTGTCAATAGCCACATATGGCTAGTGGCTACCATATTAGACAGTGCACTAGAATATTTCCATTATCACAGAAATTTCTATTAGACAGCTCTGATTCAAGGCATTTTTAAAAAAAAGGAAAAAGAAAAAATATACATATACTGACATTTAAAGCCAGGCACCAATTATAGACTTACACTTCTATACTTTATAAGCTTTAAGATTCAATATAAAATTAGCATATTCCTTCCCTGAATAGGTAAACTATGGAAGTTCTCCTTGACTCTTCCCCTCCTTTTGCTACATCAGATATCTTTAAGCCCCACTGCATTTCTCTTTGAAATGTTCCTTGGATGTGTTCCTGCTGCTGCCCTACTAATCACTGATTCACTCACACCTGATTTACTCCAACGGCTTCCTAGCTGGCTTTCCTGTCTCCAACCCTCTTGTGTATGACACCAGAAATGATCTCCAGAAAGCTCCATTTTGTCACATCATTTTCACAGAAAAAGTCTAAAAGGGTCTCTACTGTTAACTAAATTCTTCCTACGATCCTATATGATCTCATAACCCATTACCTGACTAGTCACATCACTCATTGTCAGTGAACAATTATATATCAAGTATTTACCACTATATGAATTAGGCATTCTGAGGGAAAAGGAAGACACAGGTCCCTATCTCCAAAAGATTGTAATTCAGCTGGAAACATAATATAACATCACCAGGCAATCAATACTTGACTAATGCGATAATAATAAAAAGCAGTGTTGGTTTTTCATGCCCTTGCTCTTGCTGTTTCTCTTACCTAACCTGCCCTCTTCTTGGCTCCTTTATAAATAGAGGCCCTGTGCTGCCTTCAGGGATTATCTCCAAAGTCTCATCTACTCCCTGAATCCCTCACCAGCAATTCTACTGAACCCATTTTGAACTCTCTCCCTTCTCAGGAACCCTGTGTCAATTACAGCTCCTATCACACAGTCCAGTGCTTAAATACCATCTACATGCCTAGAAGAGGGGCTAGCAATGAAACATAAGGGGTAGAGAGTAATTAGTAAGGGCCAGTCTCTTTTACACAAAGAAAAATATGCACAAAATTTAAAAGGAAAAAGTTCTTTACTATCACTTAAAACAGAAGGTACTTTTCTCTTGTGAAGAAAATTCTGAAATGATATGGAGTATCATTTCAGGACCTTAACTATGAAATTATTAACTGAAATAATTCTAATCTTAACCTCAGGTTCTAAGAAAATTCTCACTTACCCATGAGACCTACAAATGTCAGTCATTTTCTCTTTGGTTGTAAAATCTGCAGGTAGTTTAATCAGATGAAGGATCAGCTGACTGTATCCCCAGGAAAACAAGTGTGAATGAGGCCTGTGAAATGAGAAACTCTCAGTAAATTAGACAGGAAATAAACTCTACAAAAGGCTTATTAGTCATCTAATAGGTAGGAAGAGTTTAATTATATTTGTTTTATTGTTATATTTTTCAAAATTTCCACTTGACTTTTAAAAAATTAGAAATAGCTGTTTTTCCTGTTATATAATAAAATATACAAATAAACTGTTTATTTTTTAAAATTAGAAATTTTAGGTAACTGAATGCAAAAGATAGAAACCTATAACACCATTGCTCACAGACAGCCACTGAATATTCTTCTAGATCTTTTGTCTAGGCATGTAAGATAGGCATCTGTGGGGGCTTTTAAAAAGGTTCTCCTGAAGGGGTTAACAATATGCTCCTAAATAATGAGTGAATCAATGACCAAATTAAAAGAGACCAAGCAATATATGAAGAAAAAGTAAAACAACTCAACAGCCCAAAACCTGTGGGATACACTGAAGGCAGTTCTAAGAGGAAAGTATATAGCAATACAAGCTTACCTGAAGAAACAAGAATAATCCCAAATGAACAGTCTAAACTCACAATTAATGAAACTAGAAAAAGAAGAGCAAATGAGGCCCTGAGTCAGTAGAAGGAGGGACATAATAAAGATCAGAGCAGAAATAAATAAAATCAAGAAGAATAAAACAACAGAAAGAATAAATGAAACCAGGAGCTGGTTCTTTAAGAAAATAAACAAAATAGATAAACCCCTAGCCAGACTTATCAAGAAAAAAAGAGAGTGTACACACATAAAAAGAATCAGAAGTGAAAAAGGAAAAATCACAATGGACACCACAGAAATACAAAGAACTACTGGAGAATACTAAGACACATTATATACCAACAAATTGGATAAGAAAAAATGGACAACTTTCTAGAAAAATACAACCTTCCAAGGCTGACACAGGAAGAAACAGAAAATCTGAACAGACCAATTACCAGCAACAAAATTGAATTGGTAATCTAAAAACTACCTAAGAATAAAACCCCTGGACTGGATGGCTTCACCACTGAATTTTATCAGACATTTAAAGAAGAGCTAATACCCATCCTCCTTAAAGTATTCCAGAAAGTAGAAGAAAAGAGAATACTTCTGAACTCATTCTATGAGACCAGCATCACTCTAATACCAAAACCAGACAAAGATACCACAAAAAAAGAAAATTACAGACCAATATCCCTGATGAACATAGATGCAAAAACTACTCAAAAAAATATTAGCAAACTGAATTAAAAAATACATCAAAAAGATCATCCATCATGATCAAGTAGGATTTATGCCAGGGTCACAAGGATGGTACAATATTTGAAAATCTATCAACATCATACACCACTTTAATAAAAGGACAAAAATCACATGATCATCTCAACAGATGCTGAAAAAGCATTTGATAAAATTCAACATTCATTCATGATAAAAACTTCAACAAAATGTGTATAGAGGGTAAATACTTCAACATAATAAAGGCCATATATGACAAACCCACAGCTAACATCACACTTAACCGTGAAAAGCTGAAAGCTTTTCCTATAAGATAGGGAACAAGACAAGGATGCTCACTCTCACCACTTCTATTCAACATAGTATTAGAGGTTCTAGCCACAGCAATCAGACAACACAAATAAATAAAAGGCATCCAAATTGGTAAGGAAGAAGTTAAACTGTCATTATTTGCAAACAACATGATATTATCATAGAAAACCCTAAAGACTCCACCAAAGAACTATTAAAATTACTGAATTCAGCAAAGTTTCAGGATACAAAATTAATACACAGAAATCTGTTACATTCCTATATACTAACAACAAATTAACAGAAAGAGAAATCAGGAAAACAACTCCATTTACAATTACATCAAAAAGAATGAAATACCTCGGAATAAACTTAATCAAGGAGGTAAAAGACCTATACTCTGAAAACTACAAGACACTCATGAGAAAAATTAAAGAAGACACCAATAAATGGAAATACATCCCATGGGCATAGATAGGAAGAATTAATATTGTCAAAATGGCCATGCTACCCAAAGTAATTTACAGATTCAATGCAATCCTTATCAAAATACCAACAGAATTCTTCAATGAACTGGAACAAATAGTTGTAAAATTCACATGGAACCACAAGAAGACCCCAGATAGCCAAATCAATCCTAAGAAGGAAGAACAAGTCTGGGAAGATCACACTCCCTAACTTCAAGCTCTGTTATAAAGTCACAGTAATCAAAACAATTTGGTACTGGCACAGAATAGACCCATAGATCAATGGAACAGAATAGAGAGCCCAGATATAAACCCATACATAGACGCCCAATTAATATATGATAAAGGAGTCATGAATATACAATGGGGAAAAGAAAGCCTCTTCAATAACTGGTGTTAGCAAAACTGGACAGCTTCATGTCTAACTCCATACACAAAAGTAAACTCGAAATGGATCAAAGACCTGAATGTAAGTCATGAAACCATAAACCTCCTAGAAGAAAATATAGGCAAAAGTTTATTGAATATACACACAAGCAACTTTTTCCTGAACATATCTTCTTGGGCAAGGGAAACAAAATTAAAAATGAATAAATGGGACTACATCAAACTAAAAGCCTTCTGTACAGCAATGGACACCATCTGCAGAACAAAAAGCCATCATACAGTATGGGAGAATATATTCGTAAATGACCTATCCAAAAAGGGGCTAACATCCAAAACACATTAAGAACTCACATGCCTCAATACCCAAAAAGCAAATAACCCAGTTAAAAAATGGGCAGAGGATCTAACAGAAACTTCTCCAAAGAAGAAACCTGGATGGCCAACAGGCACATGAAGAAATGCTCCATGTCGCTAGTCATCAGGGAAATGCAAATAAAAAACTACAATGAGATATTACCTCACACCAGTTAGGATGGCCAACATCCAAAAGACAAGAAACAACAAATGCTGGCGAGGATGCAGAGAAAGGGGAACCTTTCCATGCTGTTGGTGGGAATGAAAATTAGTTCAACCATTGTGGAAAACAATATGGAGGTTCCTCAAAAAATCTAAAAATAGAAATGCCATTTGACCCAGTAATTCTATTCCTAGGAATTTACCAGAAGAAAACAACATTCCTCATTCAAAAAGACATATGCACCCCTATGTTTACCACAGCAGTATGTACAATAGCCCAGATATGGAAGCAACCTAAGTGCCCATCAGTAGATGTATGGACAAAGAACATGTGGTAGATATACAAAATGGAATATTATTCAGCTATAAAAAGGAAAGAAATCCTAACATTTGCAACAACATGGATGGAGCTAGAGGGAATTATCTCAGTGAAATAAGCCAGGTGGACAAAGACACCAAATGACTTCACTCATTTGTGGACTATAAAAACAAAGCAAAACTGAAGGAACAAAATAGCAGCAGACTCATCGACTCCAAGAAGGGACTAGTGGTTACCAAAGGGGAGGAGTTGGGGAGGGTGGGTGGGTGGGCAGGGAGAAGAGGATTAAGGGGCACTATAATCCACAATCACAATACAGGCAGGTCACGGGGAAGGCGATACAGCACAGAGAAGACAAGTAATGACTATTTAGCATCTTACTATGCTGATAAGACAGTGACTGCAGTGGGGGGCTGAGGACTTGATAATTGGGTGAATGTTGAAACCACAATGTTGTTCATGTGAAACTTTCATAAGCTTATATATCAATGATACTTTAATATACAAGTATCAGTGCCTATTTTTTATGACTTCTTTTTTTAATACTAAATCAGTTTATAACTAGAAATTTCTAGGAAGAAAACACACACAAACACACACAATTTTCTTTCTTTAACTGGATTTAATCATCTAGGGCTCCCAGTGCAGGTCCACGAAAGAGCTTTTGTGGGGGGGGAAGGGGGTCAGTCAGTTTAATTCTCCAAAGTCATGTGCAAAATTTTGCATGGCCTTACATTTTTCTGAGAGAAATCATCAAAGGCACATCAGAGCTTAGAAAGAAATTTCTATACCTGGGGTCTCCTTCATCATCCATAGTGCTTGTGCTTGGGGGAGCATCATGGGACACTGCCAAAAGCAGCCAATCCAATCTTAAAGACTCTGGTTGTAGAAGGGACTCAAGGAAGGATGGCCTAAGAGAAAGTTGGGGACAAAAATCACCAATCTTAATGATGAGAAAGGAAACATACAATATGGAGATGAACAACCAAGGACAATGTGGAGATTAGAAATGAGGCTTCAACTAACAAGAAGCAAAAAGCTGGAACAGAGATCCATTCACAAGAATTTGGGATATCATCAATATAAAGGTGGCAATAAATCCACTCACTAGCATAGACAAGAAGGAAGCTAATCTGAATTAGCCTAGGCCCTAAGCGGGGGTTTACTTTTTACTGGTGATCTGTGAATCTCTGAGAGGAAGGAAGGGAAGAGAAGTGTAGTGTGTGCATCTCGTGGTGTGTGCTGTGAACTGTGAAGCACGGTACCTGACTGCCAAAACCATCCTCTGCCATAGTAGGTGCCTCAACTCTGTGACAGTTGACAGTAAAAATGCTACAACTGCTAATACAAGAGAAGAAAGGACCTATCAAGAGAAAGGAGAGTCTGCAAATTTTCTCGCCTTCTCACCGTTGATCTTCAGGCCTTGATTTCACCAGACTGTCTAAATAGGCCAAAAACTGAGCAGGATGCCGATGACAAAGTTGCATGACATCCGAAGGCAAAACAGATGGGTAAAACCTGACTAACGATCGAAGGGCAGATTCCCCAAACTCCTCATACAATCTGCATTTAAAAACAAAATGTGTTAGTCTCCAACTTCAGTGAGATGATGTAATTTGGTTACATTATCCAAGCATTCATTAGAAGTAAAAAATATACCAAGAAGCTGCCCAGCATGCAACCAAGTAAAATTTTAGAAACTAAGACAAAAAAGTATGTGCTTTAGTTCATATAAACAACATATAGGACGACTTACCGGGTAGCATAAGCAATCAACAAAGGACTGTCAAAAGGGACTGAGTCTTCCAGTAACTTTAATCTTGCTGGAAGGTCTCCTTCTTCCATCTCCATATACATAGGATTGGAACTTGCCATTTCTGAAAGATAGAGGGCGTCTTTCCCTTCGTCTCATAGCTGTAAATATTCAATTCATGAACACATTCATTCAACAATCGTTGGTCAAGCACCTACTGTGTGCAAGGCTCCATGGAGAGACAAAAAAGAACAAGATACAAAGCTATTTTTAAGAACCTTAAAATTACATTGGGAGGCAGAGCATATTCAAAGTTTTAAACAAGACAAAGGAAGAGATAACCAATATATGCGACTATTACCCTTGAAAAGGGTAATAGATATGTGTGTGTATATGCAATGTACCTCCTATCAATGCCAAGTTCTTCAGTTTTTTTCTAGACCCAGTGCCCCTACTCCATCTTTTGAAACAACATAAACCAATTTAATTTATTTTTTTTGTTATAGTTATAAATCAGTTATAGTCAATCTTCCTCTGATAGAAGGTTTGACTTTTGGGAATAGCCAAGTTATTTAAAGCCAATGTAAATAAACTGAGTGGTGATCTGGTTAAACCTACTTGTAGTTTAAAAATGTATGATATATGGAACTAAAGTGAGTTTTTAAAGTATGACTGGGTGAGGGCTAAGTCAAACTTATCCCCCTAAACTCAAGCAGCTGCACTGTCTCAAATTACCCAGCATACTTGCTCTAGCCAGCTCTGTTAGTAAGTTAACCACCACTCAGGCTGATGTAGACTCTTCTGCTCTCTTCCTGTGACCAGGGTTGGGTATAACCAAGTAACAGAAACAGAAACAGCAAATTTACAGTGTAATAACATCAAGCATTTGAACCCACCTAAACAGTACCTTTTCTTGTTTTACATAAAAGACAGTCTACTTCAACTCAGAAGAATCTGAAATCATTTCTTACACTTTGAACTGCTAAATGTGAGTTGAAATAGTACCAAAACTACAGATTCATGCTTCTCGAAAACTAGAAGACCTTAAAGTCAGATAATATAAAAATGTATCTCTACTTGTGACTTTATGTTTGGTAATGAATGGAAAGTTTCCTTTAAAATCTAAATAAGTTATTAGAAACATGGCATGTTATTCAAGCAGAATTTGGGATTAAGACCTCTTCAAAAGAATGAAGAATCACCTCTTCAAAAACATGGGACTATGTAGCAGCAAGGGCATGGATGGTCTCTGGGGTATGAGAGCTGGTTTCCATATGAGGATGACAAATACTGTAACCTTTAATCAAGCGTGAAGTAGAGACCAGTGGCTGTCCACCAAAATCTGAGGCAGACATACAAGCCCTTCACCCATATCCATTCTCTTCCTTCTAGACACCTGCATAGGTTACATTTCCCAGCCTCCTTTGTAGTTGGGTGGGGCTTTGTGATAGAATTCTAACCAATGGAATCAAAAAGAAGAGGCTATAAGGGACAAGGCCTGTAAGAGAGCATGTCTGCCCCTTCCACGTGCTTTCCCTGGACATAGCAACCCACTCTTAATCATAAATCCAAAGGAAAGAGAACTTAAAAAAAACAAGGAACCTGGAACCCTGGATTACCTGGATTATGGAAGGGGGGTGCCCATTCACCAGGAATCTGTCCTGGACTGTTAAATGGGCAAGAAATAAACCTCTATTGTATTTATTACATTATGAGATATTTATTATAATAATTTAGCCTACTCAACTATTATAAGCTCTCTATGCCTCAATTTCCTCACCTATTAAGTGGAATAACACCATCTACTCTGAAAAGAGATGATGCTTATCAAGTGTTTAGCATAATATGTGGCACACAGTAAGTACTCAATAAATGGCATACATTATTTCTGTATTAGTAAGTCACATGAGGGATATTTTTATATAGCTGCATTTATAAAAATTTTACTTTAATCCCAACTTCTCCATCATTGCTGTATCACTTTCTGAATATGACTGTGAAATAAACAAAACTAATTTCCCATAATATACTTGCACATCAAACCAATGTTTGAAGAACTATTAAAAATTAACTTGAGTGGAAAATAGAGTGGAGGTTGACCAGAAAAGAGGTGATTTTCCACTTGTCTGTTTTTTTTTTTAATTCAAAAATGCCAAGATGGTATTGTCCTCTATACCAATTTCTATCTTAGGTAAGGCAATCTGATTATTACCTTTCAATCCTTCAATAAAAGTATCCCAAACAGAAGGACTATCAGTATAACTAAGCTTGATACTCTCCTTTGCTCGTTTCAAGTCCAGGAGAAAAAAATACTTCTTTAGGAACTGACAAGCCAGAATTTCAATCTGCAAAGTGTGGTCCACATGTCCGCTTGTGCTTTTGATCTCCAAACTTAATACCTTCAATTCTAAACACAGTGTTGTCAGTTCAGCCAGCTCCTTCTGAAGACCATTAGCTATGCTGCATGGAGAACATACTTGCAAAAAGTCATCCAAGGGCTCCCTGAGACTATTTACAGGTTCACATGCTGTTTGATCAACAGTTTCTTCATGGCCTGAAGAGTCCCTTTCTTCTTTTTCATTATCTTCATCTAACATTTCCTTTTTTGACACATCAAACAATAGCACATCCTGGTTTAATGTCATGGATGAGTTGCCGGTATCTGAAATGCCTGAAAAGTCCTTCATAGCAAATGTTTCTTCTAACTGTGAAAGCCACTCCTGTAAAACCATTCTCAGAGACTTAGGTTCAAACAAAACCAGTGGGTCCTGTAGCTTGGTCCTACACAAGACAGACACGTATGAAAGTTATGTTTCATAAACAGATTATCTCACGCTAAATAAATCTAATGGATAAAACATGGAATAAATGTTACTTTTCAACTCTAACAAGTATCTCAGCAAGGTGACAATACAGAAAATATTAACTTTATACTAATTCTTGAATTTCAATTCCAAATGAGACTACTCTGCTCCACAGTGTCTCAGGACCACTACCGATGATCTCAAAAAGTCATTCCCCTTCATTGTAAAACTTTCTCATTCATAAATACTCACATTGCTTCTGCTGTTGCTATTTTGAGCTCTTGAAACTTGTCTTCTTCTGGAGGCTGACCAGTTACTTCTTTTCTCCCCCTAGAAAAGTGCAAAGAGTTAGAGGGGATTAGAGTTTTCTTCGACAAATATTTCTAAGTGCTTACAACTTAGTGGCAGACGTTGTACATGTTACATGAGACAAGTAGATGAGTACAGAAAATGGTCTCTGGCCTCAAGATAAGTAAGCTACAATCAGAAAGAAAAGCATGCAAACAACTAACTTTAATATAAAAGAATAAAATAAACGCTGAAGAGCAGTGCAAGCACTGTGCTATGAAAGCATGGGTCAAGGAGTAATTATTCTAACTAGGCAATCAAGGGAAGGCTTCCCTTCAGAGGTAATATTTGTTAGGAAAAATGGGGGGAAATACTGCAGGTAGAAGGCACAGCACAAACAAATGTAGTGAGTATACACACCCAGTTCTCTGACAGAACTGGAATTTAGAGTGCTTAGAAGGATGTGTTTGGAAATGAGGCTGGAAAGGTGGGCTAAGGTCAGACTTAAGGCTGCCCTAAATAACATAGCAACACATACTTTTTTCCTACAAACACATGGATTCACTAAGTTATTCTGAGGATAACACACCTTCTATTTCATCTGACTATCCAGATACATTGAGTCTGTCGGTCTCTCCCTCAGTTCCTGGGTGACTGCTGAACTTGCTTGCCTCTAATCCCCTGACCTATGTATGAGATAAGGCAGAGGTCAGATGGACAACATAACTTTGCACTGTGCCAGACTAAGAGCTCTGCTACCACTGTACTGCACAAGAACTAGGCTATCAGCAGATCAGAGGCAGGTACATGACACAACATCAATGCAAGTGCTCTCATCGCACATTCCAGAAACCATTAGTAACTGTCTTACCCAAAGGCACATGCTAGTCAGAAGCAGAGCCAGGGGGAGGCCTAGATCTTTGGTCAGCCTACTGTTAATCTAATGCCCCTTCTCTAACATCTAAGAAGTGCGAAAGGATTTGGAGGGGAGAAAGATTGTATAGGGGAAAGATAGAAGAGGTGCTAAATTAAAACTGTCTCAACAGACTTGCTACAGGTAAATGTAGTAATTTTCCAGTACTTACTTTATGGTATTCACAATTTTTATGAGCTAAACAAAGAATCCACAACGAACAAGGTCATACATGTATCTTCTCCAACAGAACAGTCTAGAGCTTTCTTCTCACCAATAAAACTCACTTCATTTACTAAACTGTCTTGATTCAGCACTAAAGGAAGGGTCTTTAACTCCAGGTTGTCTGCAGTGTTTCTACCAATTAGGCAAAGGAAGCCATGTGATCACCTGCCCCATCCTGGATAGAGAGTTAAACAGCTGACTCCTAGAATTTACTCAGATTTAGATGTAGAGGCTTACTCAGCATCTTCCTCCTTTGGGCAGGTGACTGGATTCATGTTCTCTTCACATGACTGCTCCTCACCCCTGGGTTCTGGTCTCACTCTCAGGTCAGGGCTTGTATGAAGGGTGCCAATCTTCTCTGTAGTTTTACGCACAAAGCTAGAAACACTGGAAGTCAGATACCAAACAACTAATATGAAAAATATCTCATTACTGCCAAGAATAAAAAATTCAGTACCTGAGGTCTCTATGGTCCTATTAGTTGGCAACTTGGACGTAATAAAAAGAAAGACCCTGTTCAGAGCAACTTCCCTAGGCGGCTACATATTTCATATGACCCATGCAAAATTTACAGTAAAAGGACTCACTTCATTTACTAAACTGTCTTGATTCAGCACTAAAGGAAGGGTCTTTAACTCCAGGCTGTCTGCAATGTTTCTGTCAATTAGGCAAAGGAGGCCATGTGATCACCTGCCCCTTCCTGGACAGAGAGTTAACAGAATTTCTTCATGAACTTGTCACAATATATCCTTCTTTACAAGCAAATTTTGTATCCAGTTAAGACCCACATAAGCAGTTAAGCAGGGGTACCAAGCCTCTCTTAAATGTTGATCCTAGGGCAATGAGGTAGCTAGCAAGACTTCTGAAGAGTCTCCAATTCTGAAACCAAACTGCAGAGGGATTGAGAAATGGCTAATGATATTTGGAAACTGTTCCAATCAGAGATGAGGAAAAAAACAAGATTTTTAAACTTTTACTTTGTGTGTGGGGAGAGTGAAGGGGAACACAGACATATTTGTAACAACTCAAAACACCCAGCTACTCACAGAGGGGAGCTAAATTCCTCAAGATGGAAATGAGAACAGTTTCATATAACAGGTTATATGAAAAATACCCTAGAGACTTTCTTCTCATTTAAGATGTCTTTCCATTCTCAGCACAAAAGTACCTAATATGACAACTGAAGTAAAGCTAGAAATATTGTATTAAATGACAAGACTAATTAGTTTACCTTTCCTTGACAGCCTGGAGAGACACAAGAGGAGATGGAGAACGAAATGATAATGGAATGCCGAAGGGGAGAAAAGTTTCATTCTTATCTGTCTCAAACGTCACTGGAACATGAGAAACATTGTCTGATGAATGGAATCGGGGGTGGGGGGAAACAAAATCTAATTACACAAGAGTTTTAATTTTTAAATAAATTTCTGAAATGAATAAACCAAAGGAAATGAAGGATTCAATGCCAAAATCACAACTGATCCAGATGCAAATGAGCAGAACACAGGTAGGTGTACAAGATGCACAGGATGGTCCACCAACAAAACACTTAGGAAGGTACCTTCATTTTCCTAGTTACCCTGAATCTTCATAAGTAAAAAGGAAGCTTAGAGTCTCTATTAATCTCTTCTCAACAGTTCAGTCACAGGAATAATTGAACATCAGTAAGTGAAGGTAATGGCCCCCAAAACTGTTGTAAGTTTTCATTCCTGATGGAAAATAATTTGGTTAGCCAGGATAAAACTGTTCTACTCTTTCAGTTAATGGCCTCCTTTCTTACCTCTCCAGCACTTTGATGCCTAATCAAAATTAGGTACTTTATCAATGTTAGCCTAAGCACAAGCAGAAAAAGCACAGCTACACATAGGCCCATTCTTCTAGTGGTAAGCAGGTCTATGGTCTGAATAGAAAGTCTATCAGCACAATAAAAATTACTAGCACCTTGTAGAAAACTCTATGTTCAAGATAATTCTGACAAACAGAAGTCACAGAAAACAACTGCTTCTCATCAGCAACTAATAAAAAGAAACATTCATCACCTTCATTTCCATGTGAGCCCCAACACTGATCTGGTTGGTCCTCTTCTTGATGTAAGGTGAATTCTTTAAGTCTCTCATCTTCTGAGAGGGTTTGGCTGTGAAGGGAACAAGAGTCTTCATCTGACTGACTGCCTCTTCTACTACTAATAATACGATAAATACCAGAGTCCAAGATGCTAAAACTTTCCTAAAAATAAAAAGAATTTAAAAAAAAATCAAAATACTCATAAGGCAATATAGCTTTTTAAGAGAAAAACCAAAGCTAAATAAAAGTAGCAAGTCAATCATAACAATTATGGCTTATTAGAACAAACTGGCGAGCCAGGTTTGAGCTCTTGGCAACTGGATCACTCTCGTGCTAGAGGCATCTTACTACCGTATTTCTCCAGCTTGGCTCCATAAAGCCTGGTAGCAAGAATGGGGATTAAATGGGACAATCCTGAACTGGGCCGAGACTCAAATTAGCATGAAGCACCTGAAATCAAACATCAGGAGCAATTTAACTTGCACTGGAGGCTACATGAGGTACCTCTGCCAAGAAAATATAATAAACACTGACAAAACAAAACATGGCTCCAAAAGAGACCTAAATGGAGGCCTCCTAAGGCTGTCCAATAGCTAAAAGAAAGCCCCTTCCTGACATCCCCCTAAAAAATCTACCACTTGAAAATTAAGATGTTTTGAGGTCCTAGACGTAAGTTAGTACATCCTGAGTTACTGTACAATGAAACCCTCTTAAAAGTAAAAACACCTACATGTGATGAAATGGAGCTTCTCCTACTGCTGCAAGCTGAATCGAAGGGTTCAAATTTTAAGATCAATTCTTCCAGTTGAGATAATAGATCACTATAGGTGGTGAGGTCCAGCTGAGATTTCAAATGCTCCAATTTATCTACAGTCAAAGATTTTCTTCCCTAATAAAAGAATAATAAGTAGAAACCTGACAGAATAGCTTACAATTTGTCACTAAATCTATACTCAATGGCAACATATTGAAAGAGGCCTAACAGAGAGTACAAAACCTCAAATGAGCCTAAAGAAGGCTTAACAAACTAGTGAGACTAAATGAGAATTATCTAAGGAATTAAGAATTTCATTAAGATTAATTATACGTACAATAATCCCCCTTAAAATAAGGCCTGAAATTCAAATACATTTGTGAGTAAATTTTAAAAATATTTAGTGGAAAGTATACCCTTTTTTATTACCCTCCACCCACCCCTAGATTTGTCATGCTTCCCTTGGGGATTTATTACTCAGGAATCTGTAGGTCATATAGAAAGGGCTAATGAAGATAAGCATCTTTGTAGAACAACTGGTTTTAACAACTCAGATGAACATGTAAGCTCTTGAACTCACTCTGCTGGCAATGACAGAATTTTGGAAAAGACAGCAAGTGCGAGCAGCCAGGTTCCATAGGCCTCTCCTTAGCAGACGTTCCACACAGCGTTCCACAGATAACAGGGAAAGATGTGTGACTTTCCCATTGAGGTGTAAACAGAAGAGTTCATTCTTGCAGACAGCCACATCCTGAATATCTACAAAAACCAAAGGGGTGAACACACAGGAAGTTAGCCAAATATTCCTTTTCCATTCTAGCAAGGGCTGAAATTAGCCTAATAAATTCACTTTTATGTGAGATTTGGCTTGACTGAATTTCAGGTCTATTTTTATATTTGCATTTCAATGAAGATATCATATTTTAGACACTCTTCTAAAAAGACCAAGAATAAAAGAGACAAAAAAAGAAACACATCTCTCTGTTCTACAATCCTATGTTTAAAATGCTATTTTCTGTGCAAAGGAAATGGGACTTAAAAAGAGCACTCTACGTTAAAAGCCAGACTATAACATTTATGAGAGTTATAATTTGATGTCAATGAATGGATTTTAACACAGCTTGTAGGTCAACAAACAGCTCATGAGAAAACACCCATCTCAGCAGAACATCATGAAAGTACTTAGAAACTAGTTTTAGACCTCACTTGTATGTGGAATCTAAAGAAGCTGAACTGAAAGAAACAAAGTAACATGGTAGCTGCCAGGAGAGGTAGCAGATATTGAGGCTACAAATCTGCAGCTAGATGAGTAAATTCTAGAACTCTAACTGCACAGCACTGTGAGAATAATTAACAATACTTACTGCATTATATACACCAAAGTTGATTAGAAGCTGGAATGTAAATGTTCTCACCACAAAAGTTCATAATAATATTGCAACATATAAATATAATAAATTCAACACTTTGTACACCTTAAACTTAAACAATGTATATGTCAATTTTTTTAAAAAGAAAAAACAAAAAACTTGTTTTTAAGAGACAACTTTAGTAAACTTAATTCACAAGAAATCAAAGTTGATTAGATTGGTAAATAATGGTTCGTTCCTCTTTTTTATGTTTTTGCAAAGTAGAACATGACCCCAAAAGTCCACATATACTCTCTGAGCAGCAATGCTAGAAATGCTGTATTTCCTCCATTTTTGGTTTTAGCTAAAAAAATATAAAAATTGATCTTCTCTGTCTTGGACATATATAACAGTGTTGTTTCCACAAGGGCTTTTTGAACCCCAAACTATTAAGACCCAGGAGTTAAAGCAAGACTTAACAGGAATAAAGATTTAGAGTAAGTACAGGGGAAAAATTAATCCTTTCAAATTCTTAGTCATGGTTACTGATATTAAGAATAGATAAAAATTATATTTAAAATTACCTATGAGAAACTAAATAACTGAACACAAATTTACAAATGTATACTTGGGAAGTACCTTACAATGGAAAACATCCTTGATGTTCACTTTTAGAAGAGATGTCACCTCATTCTATTTTTCTACTTTTTATACTGCAAGAGAACTTCCTACAATAATTTAGTCTTTCACAAGCAGGAGATTACAAATTATGTAAGGAAGAAAAATATAATTACCTTTGACTTCACTCCAAAGAAGAACTTGAACATTCTGAGGAATGAATATATAAATTCCTCTTTCTGTCCAAGTCAGCACACAATGCTCACTGAAAGAATAAAAAAGAAATTAGTCAAGAGAATTCAAGTTTTATTAAATATAAAAGTTTATAATATAATTTGGACCCCCACATTGGCTACCAAAAAGTTAAAATTAGTTTGCACAAAGGAACACATGAGGGATCTACTTAATCAAGTCCTAATACCTCTTTTCTGTCTGTAACAATAGTCTGCTAAAAAAAACCTGCATAATATGATGGCAAATTAGGAAAAATAAGAGAAAGAAAGAAAAGCTTGGTAAAGGCAGGTATCTTACCTGATGTTTGTTAAAGAAGCTAAACTTCTCATATCTGGTATAACAGGGACACATTTTTTTTTTGGTATCATTAATGTACAATTACTTGAACAACATTATGGTTACTAGACTCCCCCTGTTATCAAGTCCCTCCCACATACCCCGTTACAGTCACTGTCCATCAGCATAGTAAGATGCTATAAAGTCACTACTTGTCTTCTCTGTATATACTGCCTTTCCCGTGTCCGCCACTGCTAAATTATGTGTGCTAATTGTAATGCCCCTTTTTCCCCCTTCTCCCTCCCTTCCCACCCGTCCTCCCCAGTCCCTTTCCCTTTGGTAACTGTTAGTCCATTCTTGGGTTCTGTGATTCTGCTGCTGTTTTGTTCCTTCAGTTTTTTCTTTGTTCTTCTACTCCACAGATGAGTGAAATCATTTGATACTTGTCTTTCTCTGCCTGACTTATTTCACTGAGCATAATACCCTCTAGCTCCATCCACGTTGTTGAAAATGGTAGGATTTGTTTTCTTCTTATGACTGAATAATATTCCATTGTGTATATGTACCACATCTTCTTTATCCATTCATCTACTGACGGACACTTAGATTGCTTCCAATTCTTGGCTACTGTAAATAGTGCTGTGATAAACATAAGGGTGTGTATGTCTTTTTCAAACTGGAGTGCTGCATTCTTAGGGTAAATTCCTAGGAGTGGAATTCCTGGGTCAAATGGTATTTCTATTTTTAGTTTTTTGAGGAACCTCCATACTGCTTTCCACAATGGTTCAATAACAGGGACACATTTTAAACAGACTTAACGTACCTCACTACCAATAACTACTGCCCTAGTGAGCCACTTCTGGGATGGCAATATTTTGACATCCTTAGTTGTATGTGGGCAATAAAAGGTTGAAAACACCTGGTCAACTATGTGCTAGGAGCTTGGTTAAAGGCTCTACCTGTATTATCTAACCTTGTAGCAACTCATCAACATAGATGTGTTACTCTTATTTATAAAAAGAAAACCGAAGTTCAGAGAAATAAAAAAAAATGTCCAAAGCCATTCAGCATGAATGTAGAAGAGCCAGAATTTATACCAGGGACCATATTGCTCCAAAACTTGGGCTTTTTCCTCTATACCTTACACAATCTCCTTCTTCCCTCATTTATCCTCACTGACCCACCCACTGCTATCTGAAGTTCTGATGATTCTAAACAAGTCATAGATTTCCTAAATGCCAAACCCAACAGCCCTTCCTCATGCATTCCTGTCTTTTGCTCCCCAACCAGGAGCCAACCCTACTGACTGTTTCTTACTGAACCTCCCCTCCCTGGACTCTGGGACACTGCACTTTCTTGGTCCACTTTTCCTACACAATACTCCCTATCCCCTGCCCATCTGTTTCTATATTCCTGTGCTCACACATCTCATTTATTCCCTCATAGTTGCTACTATTTCTAATATACCACTGGTAATCTCTACTTCTTCCTTCTGGTCAGGGCATTCTCTAACGACATCTCAAGGATCAGCAGAAGTTCTATTCCCCTCTACAATCCTCCCCGACAACCCATAGCAACTGCTCTTCCTCCTGCACTCAAACTATTTTTTGTCAACCCTGTTCATTTGGGACTTGTTCATGTACTGCACTGTTACAATTCTTTTTTATTATTGTTAAACTTTTCATAGAAATAACCACATCTCGCCAACAAGTTATCATCCTGAGAATAGGAACCTTTTTTTTCTTTATGCCCCCAAGAGTACTAGAAATGGTGCCAATGTAACTATAAAACTAAGAATGATATTTAACAGGAATTTGGTCCTCACACAAATGTTAAACATTTTGCCAGTATGAAAAACCATCACTCTCCCTATAGCAAAGTAATCTTTACCACAAAGATGGAAGAAATAGTCAGGATCCCAATCCAAAGTAAGGAAAAGTGGCAAGCTGCCTCTAAGAGCCAGGAGAGAAAAAAGGAGGCTAGATGATCCTTGAGAAAAGAGCTACAGATCCCTGAGTAAAGAGATACAGGATCATGATTTTCATACTGAACTTGATATTCAGCTTGGAAAGATTCCTTAGGAATTGAAACCTAGATTAGATTGGGGGAAGGTGTTATCTAAGAGCTGTGATTTATACATCCCTCATCCCCTTCTTCCTTCATGATAATAAACAAACTAATAGCATGGTTTAAGTCAGGGAAGGGAAAGTGACACCAGTGTACCCAAAAGGAAACAAAGTATCTAAATTTGCTTCCTTGAGGGATTTGTAGATATAACAGTAAAAGTTACCATACAACACAACTGTACACACCGGAAGAAAAGTAAATAAATAGGAACAAAAGCCCTGTCCATGATGGTTTTCCAAAAAATTCTTTGTTGAATTTTTTAATCTAGCTGTTACTTGAGAGCCTTTTTATATGCCTAGCATCGTGCCCACAGTGAAGGAGCTGACCATCTGGTGCTGGGGTGCATATTCAGGTGCAGCAAAGCGGTGGTGATGGAGGAATGAACAAGATGCAGAGACAGTGCATGAGAATAAGTGCCTAATCTAGCATGCTGGAGGAGTCCACAAAGGCTTCAAAATGGCATTAATTATTGCTTAAGCTGTGAGTAGGCAGAGCCAGATCACATAGGGCTTTGTTTGCTATGACAGGTACTGTAATAGGAACTTTAAATAGCTTAGCTCAAAGGCATAATTCTACCAGGAGACCCAAGTGGACTGTGCCTTTGCATATGTCAGAAACATATTTTTGGGTAAGGGACTTCCCTACACCCCACATTATCATACCACAGTCAACAAAAGACACAGTCAGTGTCTATTATGTGCCAGGCACTATGCCAAGCACTGAGAATAAAATAAGGGGCAAAACAGACATGAAGCCCTCATGAGCTTACCATCTAGGAGTAAGACTGGCATAAATACTATATGATTTTATAATCATAAACTGTGGTAAGTACAGGAAGAATTTTTAATACACTTTATCTAATTATGGGCAAATAAACAGCTGTCTTTCTCCAGTTAACTTTCAGGATGAATTATGGATTCATATATTGTCTACCATTTACTTTTAAATACATCAGTGCAGGTAGTGTGACATATACATACCTCAGTTAGGGGCAATTAATGAACATTTCAAGTGTTTCAAAAATATCACATTCAAAGAGCAGTTACTTGAACTATGAGAGAACCCAATCAGGAGTCAACACTCCAGCATACCCTTTAACTACCTCTGAGTAACATGCTCTGAATCTACATTAGAGATCTTACTCATTTGCCACTGATGAAATTCAAGACACATAGACTGGCTGGAAATCAGACACTGGCACCCCATGCCTACAGAACAAGGTGTAAGAAATGGCAAGCCCAGCAGCTGACAGCCTCGAGTGGCACTCTGTGCTGCTACTTAAATAGTCAGTTTTGCACCTCATCCAACCAGAAGGGTCACCAAAACCTTCTGTTAGAATATGGCTGAATCTGCCTCAAGTAGATCCTTCATGGAAGGTTAGAATACCTAAACGACAGAGAGCTGAAATTTCACCAAGCTTACAAGAACAAGTTCTCCAACTATTTTTGCGCCTACTTGCTAAGAAACATACGTAGATGTGGCAGACTTGAGTCTGAGACTTTCTTTCATTGTAACATCCCACCAGGTAGGGGAAGTATGAAAGACTAGTACCTACAGCTCTTGGCTCTAACTGTCAGAAGTTCCCTGACAATCATAAAGTACCCACTTAGTTTAGGTCGGTTCAGGATGGAAAGAGTAGCATATTTCTGTATCTTTTTCATTCTGCTTATATCATAGATCCCTGAGTAAAGAGATACAGGATCATGATTTTCATACTGAACTTGATATTCAGCTTGGAAAGATTCCTTAGGAATTGAAACCTAGATTAGATTGGGGGAAGGTGTTATCTAAGAGCTGTGATTTATACATCCCTCATCCCCTTCTTCCTTCATGATAATAAACAAACTAATAGCATGGTTTAAGTCAGGGAAGGGAAAGTGACACCAGTGTACCCAAAAGGAAACAAAGTATCTAAATTTGCTTCCTTGAGGGATTTGTAGATATAACAGTAAAAGTTACCATACAACACAACTGTACACACCGGAAGAAAAGTAAATAAATAGGAACAAAAGCCCTGTCCATGATGGTTTTCCAAAAAATTCTTTGTTGAATTTTTTAATCTAGCTGTTACTTGAGAGCCTTTTTATATGCCTAGCATCGTGCCCACAGTGAAGGAGCTGACCATCTGGTGCTGGGGTGCATATTCAGGTGCAGCAAAGCGGTGATGATGGAGGAATGAACAAGATGCAGAGACAGTGCATGAGAATAAGTGCCTAATCTAGCATGCTGGAGGAGTCCACAAAGGCTTCAAAATGGCATTAATTATTGCTTAAGCTGTGAGTAGGCAGAGCCAGATCACATAGGGCTTTGTTTGCTATGACAGGTACTGTAATAGGAACTTTAAATAGCTTAGCTCAAAGGCATAATTCTACCAGGAGACCCAAGTGGACTGTGCCTTTGCATATGTCAGAAACATATTTTTGGGTAAGGGACTTCCCTACACCCCACATTATCATACCACAGTCAACAAAAGACACAGTCAGTGTCTATTATGTGCCAGGCACTATGCCAAGCACTGAGAATAAAATAAGGGGCAAAACAGACATGAAGCCCTCATGAGCTTACCATCTAGGAGTAAGACTGGCATAAATACTATATGATTTTATAATCATAAACTGTGGTAAGTACAGGAAGAATTTTTAATACACTTTATCTAATTATGGGCAAATAAACAGCTGTCTTTCTCCAGTTAACTTTCAGGATGAATTATGGATTCATATATTGTCTACCATTTACTTTTAAATACATCAGTGCAGGTAGTGTGACATATACATACCTCAGTTAGGGGCAATTAATGAACATTTCAAGTGTTTCAAAAATATCACATTCAAAGAGCAGTTACTTGAACTATGAGAGAACCCAATCAGGAGTCAACACTCCAGCATACCCTTTAACTACCTCTGAGTAACATGCTCTGAATCTACATTAGAGATCTTACTCATTTGCCACTGATGAAATTCAAGACACATAGACTGGCTGGAAATCAGACACTGGCACCCCATGCCTACAGAACAAGGTGTAAGAAATGGCAAGCCCAGCAGCTGACAGCCTCGAGTGGCACTCTGTGCTGCTACTTAAATAGTCAGTTTTGCACCTCATCCAACCAGAAGGGTCACCAAAACCTTCTGTTAGAATATGGCTGAATCTGCCTCAAGTAGATCCTTCATGGAAGGTTAGAATACCTAAACGACAGAGAGCTGAAATTTCACCAAGCTTACAAGAACAAGTTCTCCAACTATTTTTGCGCCTACTTGCTAAGAAACATACGTAGATGTGGCAGACTTGAGTCTGAGACTTTCTTTCATTGTAACATCCCACCAGGTAGGGGAAGTATGAAAGACTAGTACCTACAGCTCTTGGCTCTAACTGTCAGAAGTTCCCTGACAATCATAAAGTACCCACTTAGTTTAGGTCGGTTCAGGATGGAAAGAGTAGCATATTTCTGTATCTTTTTCATTCTGCTTATATCAGAACATTTCATGTAACATAGTCATTTCCTCATTTTTCTAAAACTAATACAAAAACATCCTTTAAAAGCTAACTGCCTCACAATAAAAATCAAAGAGAAAAAAGTAACTGTTCTTTTTTCCAAAGGAACCAAGGAAGAAACATACCTAAGATGTAAGAGTTTGGGGAAGGACAAAGACTGGGAAGATCCAACTGAGGCTGGATGATCATACTGAGGCTCTGATCTAGGAAGTAAACACATCTGTTAATGATTTAATCAAACATAAAAGTATGCTTTCCCTTGTACAGGAACATTTTTGTACCTCAAAAGAAACTCAAGAGCCTTACTGCACACCCTTATTCAATTTGCTTTAATGATAGGAAAAGTAAATACATTACAAACTTTTTGTTCTCTCTGAATCTTCTAATAAAAATTCTACTTCACTCTTAGAAGGCATAATAAAATCTTTAATGCACATAGAATTAGATTTCAACCTAACTCCTCCATGGACATTCCTTAAATACTCCTATGCGGGGGGTCAGCCATACACATCATTACCTTACAGTAATCACAGGAAGAGGTGGAGATGAGAGGAGTTTCTTAAACTGATGTGTACTTATAACTTCCCCATCAAAGTTCACTTCCCACATCCTGGAGCCAGGACGAGCACAATATATCAGAGGTTGCTGGCCTGTAGAATATCTTCCAGGGAAGAAACAAGCTCCGTATTCTCCATCTCTTTCCTTATTTCCAATTTTCCAAAACTTTTCTCTAATACCCAAAAAGGAAAAGAAAGCATGTTTACTTAGAAAAAAGTAAAAAACAATGGCATTACAAACCAGCATGGCCATAATAACCCGATCCATAGTATTCTTTCTTCATTCACATTAATATAGCTCTGGTTTGCCATTAACTGTTTCTGTGACAAGACACAAACCACTTCACATTAGTACTCAATGTATCATCCACAGAATGAGGGACTCAGAAGTAATGGGAAGGCCCCTTTCAAATGTAAAAAACAAAGGTCACCAAACCATTTCATACATCCTTAAATTTTAATTATTCCTTCATAAGCCACCTTGCCAAATATTCATGGGACACTCAATAGCAGATACTAATGTATTACTCCATCCCTGCCTCTCAAGCCACTCCCTTGCCACAAACACCCAATAAACTTACTCACTCTTCAAAATGCCACGTCCCTCTGAAACTTTATGCCTTGGAACATTGTTTCCTTATGATACATGAGCTAGATATACAAACGAGCTTAGCACACTGCCTGGGACCATCAAAGGTGATGAGGAGGAGGAGGTCTCTTCCTAAAAACTCCTTTACTTATTTTTCATAACTTAGCTCCATCATTCTTCCTCCAAGAAACTTTTTTGCCTCCCATAAGCTAAATTACATGCTTCCATGCTATGTTTTCATAGCATTTACCACATTATACAGGCAACTGTGTATAAACTGTGACTTCCTTTGGGAAAAAGGCCACTTCCTACTCCCTTTCAGTTGGATTCCCAGTGTACACCACGGCATCTGGCCCACAGAAAACACTCAACAACACCTTGCAGTGCTCCATATACTTAAACTTTTTTATTAGCAAATTATCTAATATGCTCTCTAGGGTGAATTTACCATGTGACCTTAGATAATTCAATAAATATAGATGTATTTATTTGTTTCATGAATAAAACATAACATCAGCTTTACTATGAGAATATGGATAAGAAAGTGTCTAGAAATGTATACAGAGCAATGTAAGAACTTACGGTTTTATTACTTATGTTTCTTATTTGGGGAATTAAGTTACTTCTTGTTTATTTTATATCCTCCAATACAGTGCTTAGGATCCAGAGGAGTGCAATAAATGTTTGCTGAGTGACCAAATAGTTAATTCGTACTCACCTGTGTGCTCATTAATCTTGCTTTCCACTTTCAAACAACGTGACAGGCACAAGGCTAAGTATTTCATAGACATTACCTTAGTTAATCCTTAAAACTTCCTCTACATTCTGGGTGGGAACACTGACATTTAGCAAGGTTTAAAAAGTGGCAAAACCAAACCATAAAACTCTTAGAAAAAAACACAGGCAAAAATCTCTTGAACATAAAAATGAGCAACTTTTTCCTGAACACATCTCCTCGGGCAAGGGAAACAAAATAAAAATGAATAAATGGGACTACATCATGCTAAAAAGCTTCTGTATAGCAAAGGACACCATCAGCAGAACAAAAAGGCATCCCACAGTATGGGAGAATATATTTGTAAATGATAGATCCAACAAGGGGTTACCATTCAAAATAGATAAAGAACTCACACGCCTCAACACCCAAAAAAGCAAATAACCCTATTAAAAAATGGGAGGAGGATATGAACAGATACTTATCCAAGGAAGAAATTCAGATGGCCAAGAGGCACATGAAAAGATGCTCTACATCACTAATTATCAGGGAAATGCAAATTAAAACCACAATGAGATACCACCTCACACCAGTAAGGATGGCCAACACAGAAAAGACTAGAAACAACAAATGCTGGCAGGGATGCAGAGAAAGGGGAACCTTCCTACACTGCTGGTGGGAATGTAAATTAGTTCAACCATTGTGGAAAGCAATATGGAGGTTCCTCACAAAACTAAAAATAGAAATACCATTTGACCCAGGAATTCCACTCCTAGAAATTTACCCTAAGAATGCAGGAGCCCAGTTTGAAAAAGACATACGCACCCCTATGTTTATCGCAGCACTATTTACAATAGCCAAGAAATGGAAGCAATCTAAGTGTCCGTCAGTAGGTGAATGGATAAAGAAGATGTGGTACCTATACACAATGGAATATTACTCAGCCATAAGAAAAAAACAAATCCTACCATTTGCAACAACATGGATGGAGCTAGAAGGGATTATGCTCAGTGAAATAAGCCAGGCGGAGAAAGACAAGTTCCAAATGATTTCACTCATATGCGGAGTATAAGAACAAAGGAAAACTGAAGGAACAAAACAGCAGCAGAATCACAGAACCCAAGAATGGACTAATAGTTACCAAAAGGAAAGGGACTGAGGAGGATGGGTGG